AGTTTCTTTCGGGCCTCTTTCGCCTCGCGATTCGCGCTTCGCATGATCTCGCGAGCCCGGCTTCTCCGTAGAGGGGTCAGCCATGACAACGATGGCACATCCTCCTGGTCCTGCAGCGACCCCCTAAAACATATAATTGGTTTGATACAAGGATGCACCTGCGATGTCGACCCATATCCCCCATGAGCACATATCTTGCACTGATTATTGTCCTCCTGCGGTGCCGCTGCCTCACTCTCAGCATCTGAGAAGGCCAACCTTTTCTTGCAGTCGGGACTTCCAGCAGGCAGCGATCCTTCAGCTGTCCTGGACAGGCTCGCAAAATGGTCAAATTCAAATAATAACAAGTATATATATCTATTCCAGCCTCTTCTTCTTCTTCTTCTTCTTCCTGCTGCTCTCTTGCCTGATGTCATCCTTGGCCTTTGCATCTTCTTCTTCCAAGGCTACAGCTTCAGGATCCTTTTCACCCTCGCACTCATCCTCATCGCCCTCCTTTGCCTTGGCCTTGGCCTTGGCCTTTCCTTTTCCCTTTGCCTTTGCCTTTGCCTTTGCTTTTGCTTTTGCCTTTGTCTCTTTGGCAGCTTCCTTCTCGTTCCTGATATTCTCACGAAGCTTCCTTTGCGCCTGCCCGAAATTATCTCTCTCTCTCTCTCTCTCTCTCTCTCTCTCTCTCTCTCTCTCTCTCTCTCTCTCTCTCTCTCTCTCTCTCTCTCTCTCTCTCTCTGGCTTTGGCTTTCTCTCTCTCTCACTCATCACGATCATGACCTGGCCTGGAGCACATCATCAGCGGATCCTGATCCGGACAGATCCTTGCGCAAAGCCTCCACCTGCCCGAGCATGCCCTCTGGCACCTTGGGCAACTCCTTGAACAAAGGCTTCTTGAGCTGCTCTTGGTCGTCATTGCCGCCCTGACAAACAAAACAACACCAGAGGGATGCCATAAATACAAGTATGTATGTATTTCTGAACTGAATAGTTTGCTGCGTGAGTATGGCTGCAGACTCTGTGTAACATGACTAACCCACACTACAGAATAGTTTAAACATGTATCTACATAGAAACAAATACGAATCTAAGGTATGAGCTCAGGGATATGTGAGTGCAGTCCTCATTCGCTGCTTCCTGAGCAGCCTTCTCGGAAGTTGGGACGATCACCTTTCCAGGGCTGGGCTTCCCATCCTTCGTCATGGATTCCTCAGCAGCCTTCTTGGGAGATTTAGTTGGGACGATCACCATTCGAGGGCTGGGCTTCTCATCCTTCGTTGTGGCTTTCTCAGCAGCCTTCTCGGGAGATCTGGTTGGGACAAGCACCGGCTGCTTGGGGATCTCTTGGGCCTTCCTGCTGCTGGGTTTGGGCTTTACAATGTCCTCTTCCCATGCATCGTGCCCGGGTCTTGGGATATCCTCTGCCCCAAGATATAAATCCTCATCATCCTGTTCCACTGGGGGCATTGCGGGGGGCTGGTTGGGGATCTCCTGTTCCTTTCCTTTCCGGTGCTTGGGCCTTGGCAATAGCTTCCGCTGTCCACTCACTGGGGTCTCCTCTTCCCTTTCTGGTGTTCCGCCTTTTGATGAAAGAGCCTGCAACAACTCACAAAAACACACCCACAAACTAGTGCGGGCCAGCATCTCTGAATTGAACCTCCACACTTGTCAAGCTCGCACTTCGAGTAGGCCGGATGTGCCCAACCTGCCATTGAAATTTCAAGGACTCCAGGGTATTTAGTCATGTTGAATTGGATTTGCCGATAATGTCCCGGCCTTACGTAGTGAAGGCTTCACCCAAGGCTGCCCCTTCCAGGAGTACTAGAAATAATCAGTATATATATATATATATGTGCTCATTCAAGAAAAGCATGCTGTCCTCATCCACCGACTGGCCGCCTTCATGATGAGGATTGTCTTCCTGAAAAGCATAAGGGGCTGAAGGCTTCATGGGTATTACAAATAATTATTACAGGGTTTGGGTTCAGGGTATTTTTCATAGGGCCATAGAAGATAAAGAGGAGAGAATCGGAGAGAGAGAGAGAGAGAGAGAGAGAGAGAGAGAGAGAGAGAGAGAGAGAGAGAGAGTCACAGTCTCTTGACCCGTCCTCTTCGGAGGAGTCGGGCACAAACACCGGCTGCTGATGCATCTGCACATAGATGACATCATCATCCTCATCAGATTCTTCCTTCTCTTTCTCACTCTCTTTCGAAGCTTTCGAAGGCTCCTGACAAGGTCGCATCGGAATCAAGTGCAATGTACAGGTCCACATGGAATGGAGTCCTTGGAGCCCCTGAGCTCGTTGACAATCTGCTTCAGGTTCGCCATTTTCTCATGCCCCGACCTGGTCAGCAGAACCAATCATGTACCCTGAGAAACTGCAACCTCGCCTTGTACCTTTGTTGGACCTGGCACGTCGTACCACATACGATGCCATTGCTCTGTGCAGGTTTCCTTCTGTCAGAGCCCAAGCCTGGCACAGGGGCCAGTGCATAACCAATATAAACCATGAGGCAAGAGTTGCGCCTCCAAGTCACGGACTGACATCTTCTGAGATACTATCTTGTTCGGCTTGGCAACAGAAACCAATGCAGCCTGCAGGCTTCAGAAACAATCGGGTTCATTGTTCAATGACATGATGAGCAGCCTGGGTCTCCTTCGCTGTCGGCAGGCAGGCCCCAACCAAGGCCACAAAATTGATTAAGAACTCATAGTTGATATCCTGCTCGACCTGATCAGGTATAACGGGGCTTCGAAATGGTGTGATTGATCAGTATATGGCCTCCAGCTCATTCACAGCATTCCCAGCCAAGCTCACAAAAGAGAAGTTCACGGGAACCTGCAAACAGATGAGCCGAAACTCCAGATTGCAAAGCCCTGGCTGAAATCCTACCTTCGATCGCTTCAAGCATCTTTCCAACTTGCGAGGGCCGATGCCCGATTCTTGGGCGATTTGTCGCAATCGCCCATCCACATAATCTTGGCTTCCGAGCAGGGCGGAATAGAATTCCTGTGAGGGTGGGATGCGGGTGTTTTCAGATTTTGGTGTAGGGTTGGGCGCCGGGACTCAGGGACCATCATTTAACTGACTGGCCTTCAAGATCAAAACCGTTTCCTCATTCGGCTTCGAACTTGGCATGGCGACCCAGCTGCAGGAAAAGCAAGACCCCAATTATAATAACCCAAGCTTCGACAGCCTAGCACCTAACACAACAGCCAGAAGCTGCCCTACCTAGCCCTAGCTCGGCTCGATATCCAAACTTATACCTAACTTGTATGATATACGAGGTTCTCCCCAAGAGGAAGCACCCACAAGCTGAGTCATTCTTTAAATTTGTCTTTGCACACCTAGAGGGAACAAAACCTGTGGCCAAGGCTTTACACAATCTCGGCCGATGGCTGCGTGTGAAAAGCAACAGCATGCAGACCAGGGATTTGCGGGTTAAGAGGTTTCGAAGTGTACAGTAGAAGCCAGAAAGTTGGAACATGGATTTAGGAGGATTTGTGCTAGGATCCCGTATACTTTACTTTAGGGGCATGAGGATACTAATGTTCCAACTTTCTGGCTTCTACCATAGGTGTTGGGGGTTTGGGATTTCGGATGCACGGCCCAGCTCCGAGTCAAGAGTTCGGGACCCCTAAAAAATTAAGTAGCCTAATTCCCCCTTATAATTCTAAGCCCGGCTAAGCTTAAACTGAATTCCGAATTCGACACAAAGCACCCCCTTTCCCGAAACAAACATGCGGATCTCGACTGGATGTCGACCAGTCATCGCGAACTTCAGCAGTCTGTTTGAATCCTGAGATCTAGCACTCTGGAACACACTTCTGTAACTTCTGTAGTTTTGAAACAGCACACTTTGCGTGAGATATTTCACCGAGGTTCTGTGCTCCAAAGCCTTCCGCATAGATCACCTTATCCGGGATATAAGCTTTTGAAAGGATCCTGGAATCGAATATTCTTGCTATCGAGGCTCCACAGATCTGATCGAACTGGTCTTGCGATCCATCAGTCCTAGGCTCTACAGGCACAGCATGAATGTAATCATAAACCTGCTACAGCCAAAAGAATTGGAAGCAGTTGGGCCGAGGCTCCTCCATTCACAGATCTTTGCGAAGCATATGCATCTTGTAGATCACAGCCATCCTGAGATGCTTCGTATACAATCCTGTCCCATGGATTCTCACTGATCACGAGGTCAAAACCAATCTAATTTTATCGAGGCTCTGTCATCCTGCAGTTGCATCGAATGCACGCCAGAGCCCATCACATGTATCCATGGATCATACAGTGGTGGAATACAGGTTGGGGTTCTAGGTCCTTCAGCTTTTAAGGTGGCATGGGCATCACTTGATTCAGCTAAAAGTTGTCCACTAGCATGTTCATGGCTTTCATTTCGGGCCCTAAACTACATAGTCTCAGGCGATATCTCCACGAAAGGATCTGACCTAAGACCCCAAAGCCAAGCACATAGAGCTGCTGTGAATCAGCAGGATCGGATGGGATGCAGGATGTCATCAAGCTTGGGGCTACTCAGGTTTAGGATTTTGGGTGTTATAGATCTATGAACTTTACACAAGTACCTCCATCAAGGCCAGAAGAGCCGATACATTTCGACTCAAATCATCGATGAGACATATCTGAAAGATGAACCTAGCAAATCTGGGAATGGCCATCAGGAGCCCAACTTTGCAACCAATGTAATCAATCTATAGGTGCATGGAAAGCCCCTCAAAAACCAGCATCAATGGATTAAAATCCTGTAACCAGCTTATTTTTTTTCACCTACTAGCATTTAGAGCAGAAGTAGGTCAAGAGCCTAAATGGTAAAGCGAGCACGTTACGCCACTCACTAAACCGACGGGTTTAACGAGACGGTTGACGTACAGGGTTACACTGCATGCAGTTGCGAACCGAAGGATGTGATCCAAAGTAAACGCTCCGATAGGTGCAGCAGACGGTTCCTGTAGAGGTCTGAGGACCCTAAACCGAAATCCTCTACACCGGGCGATGCAGCTGGGCCCGCAGCTTTGGCGCGCTGTGCCGAGCCTCTTGGTTTCTTTGCAGGGTGCTTATCTTCGAACAACTCATCCTACGGGCAGCTGTACCGCGACGCAGGAGGAGCTGCATTCTGGCGAATCAAAGTGTAAGAACTACGAAGGTGGAATTGCACTTCACTTGGAGCGACCCGCATCTGTATTTCAGGGCTGCCAGCATGTTGGGCTACAATCCATACAATTCTACACAGCAGTGGCAGCAGCAGCAATATCCTGCATGAGACAAGACATCAACAACGGCGCCACGTCATGCGCTGCCGGATACGTGCTCGAATCCAGCTGGCACAGTCACACTTGTGGTGCGGTTTGTGCTCAGGCGGCGTCGATGGACTGGCGGCAGCAGTGCGCAAGACCCCGTGGCGGCTGAGCCGTGATCATCGCGAGGCACTGATGGGATCCGGGCTTGTGGTTAGAGGCTCTTTGATGATGTGCGCAAGATACTAGCTACTAGTTACGTAATCATTCCGTGGAAACAGTACCGGACTTTCCATGGCGGGCGGAGACTGGCTTTCGATTGTTGCCTGTAATCGGTGAGAGTTTGAACATCATGAAACATGAGGATAGAACAGCGGTCAAACAAATGGGTGGGTCTTTTCCATTTCCGCTTTGAAATTTTTTCTGCAGGCTCGGGGATAAGCTGTCTGCACTGTCGCAGCTCTACCGCACTTTCTGCATAAACACAGGCGGTGACATGTCGTGACGCCGAGATTCGAGGAAGAGTCTCCTTATTAAAATCTTCATAGACCGCAGCTATACATGTCGGATGTAGAAGCTCAAACTAGCATGTGGGATGTTTCTGAAGCAGCCTGAAGCCCGTCGGAGGCTCTGCAGGATCGGCTGAAGCTATCGAAAGAGCCCCTGATGCAAGTCAGAGAGTCAGGTCCGACCTGCGCTTTTTTGTGTTCACTCTTGCCTGTGTTCGAGACTCTTTCCTGCTAGCCATTATGGCTCGGTAGCTGAAGGGCTCTGAGATTTTCGGGAACGCAGGGCAGGACTGCGTGTTGAGTGCCAGAAATCTCGTGTAACACTGCATCGGAACGGCAATGCATCTCAACTGCTCATGATTTCTGGAGGCGGCTGAAGTCAGGTAGGAAATTGACCGGGACGGAATAGCCCCAAGCCAAGGCGAAGCTGCTCGAGTCATTGACGACGCATCTTGGAGGCGGTCTTCCTTCACCACGGGTCTTCAACTTGATGTGGCTGGGGCTCACCGGGACAAGGGCTGAGAGGACCATCAGCAGAAGCAGCAGCAGAAGCAGTGGCAGCGAATCGAGCATGCACATGTCTGCCAGGCAGCTGCCCCGTGGCTGTGGGGCTCATGCGCAGCGGCGACGTTCTCCTAGGCCATCGACTAAACCGGCTTGTAGCGTGCCTTGATTAAGCGTGATGAGATGGACACGTGGTCTTTGAGTGAATTCCGACATTCACGCCCGATGGAGCAAGCAGTGCGGAACTGCGCAGACCTGCAGCCAGTAGAGGCCTCAGAGATGCGACGAGCAGAATCGAGCGGACATGGTTCTACATTGATGACTTGTTTCATGCTTCATAGCAGTCTGTCATTCGGTGTAGAAGCAGCTTCCAAGGAAAGCAGGCAGTTGAACGCTTGCACTAGCACAGCATGTTTTTTGGTTTGATTCATCCATACAGTAACCATAGATGCAAATACAAACATGACTTACGTGATACTACATATCATGGCATGATATTTCACTGCGTTGCGTTGCATAAGAGCATACATGGCAAGCGTGTGTGTATGTATAATTACATGTATGCAGGTTGGGATGTCTTTATGTTTTTTGTATGTATGTATGTATGTATGTATGTATGTACTTGAACCGACATGTCTTCGCCACATTCAAGCTATGCGGAGGTCCTGCTCTAGACCTGGCTCAGCATCGCTTGAGCGCGACACAGGCCCGGAAGAGCCTGCTGCGTGCGAGCTGGTTTCCTTCAACTACCGGTCGCTTTTGAGCCGAGCTGGCATTTCGCTCGAAACAGTATGGAAAGTGCTCGAACGTTATCCCTCCGAAATTCGATCGCAAGATGATGTGAAAGCTCATCGACCAGCAGGGCAGCTGCACAATCTGCTTTTGCCAAGGAAACGAGAGCATAAGCCCTCCGGGTCACCACAGCTGCAGCCCGCTGCACTTCGCAACCTGCAACCATCTGTAGATTCCAAGCACTTGGGTCCAGAGCTCGGCATCTCAACAAACAGTCTTCCTGCGAGTGAGGGTCCTTCCACCTCCAAGCAAAGTGGATGCCTAGAACGAGCCCCACGCACATGCACTATCTGCAAACAACACACCCAAGGGCACGTGGTATGTAAGCCTTAAACTAGGCAAGCTCTGCCATTCCCGAAGCTTAGTTGTCTACTAGTTTGCAGGTTCTCGTTGCCAATGCTCTTCTTTGTGGCGATGTGCCCGGTTCGCATGAACGCTTCGAGTTCACGGCTTAGGCGCATCTTTGGGTTTTGGATTTGGATAAAGCCCGTGAAGGTAATCCGTTTAGTAACCTTGGATAGGAACTGTGGGACTTTGGCTCACACATCTGATTCCCTCCTCAAGTGCTTTGAAGTGCTAGTACTTGTAGAAGTAATCCATCATCAAACCCTTAGCCCAAGGTCCCAAACCCCAATCACTAGGCCGTAAACCCCTCAAATTTTGGCATCCGAGGCCTTTGAGGCCATTGGCTGCCGCGAGCGTCCCAGAGGCGGTTCTGTGGACCTGCTCCTCGGCGGTCGGAAACGAGTGGTATAGTAGAGAGTAGGGTCGTATGTGTGTATATGTGGCCACAATATGGATGGTGTAGTATTCATACCTGTGTACTTATGAAAGTATACACACAAGCATACATACATGCTCCTGCAGTATGCTGTTACATCAAGCATGCCCATTTAGCACAGCATCTCGGAGCAACTTGCAAACACCCAGCAGAAGGCTTATTTCAACAATGAAGTGAAGACATGCGAGGACTGGACTGTTAGTAGTTAGCAGCGTACGAGTAGTAATAGTCGTCGTCGTACGCGCAGTTGTCAGAAGATGAAACTAAGCAGTCCAATGAAGTAGTTTAGAAGTACCACACAATGCAGGAAGTCGTGCTAGAGATGTCAAGCGGAAAGAACACGCGTCAGTTCAACCTCGGGTTCAGAACATAGACTTATGCTTTGCATTGCTTTGCATACGAAGACATCAGTAAGGCGACTGACAACCACGTTTCTGGTTGAGATGACTCCAAGATATGGGCTGCGTTTTCTTCAGGGTTCGGGCATACCAGGTACACCAGGGCTTATGGTACGGTCTCAGGCGGGGTGAAGTCAGGTTTTGCCCAGTTCCAGCGATTGTTTGCACGTTCTAGAAGTTCTATCATTGGACATCGTGTTCTAGGTATGGCTAGCCGGATGCGATGCAGCTTGCCCCAGAGATGTACGCATCTTGTCTACCTTCCTTTAGTCCCACATCACACGAACGACACATTTCAAGTGAGGCTAAGGCAGCTGGAGAACTTCCAAGAGGCCGGCAGGGAGGAAAAGCAAGTACATTGTTGCTGCTGGATGGCCTTCGAGTCCAAGCAGGTTGAGCAACAGCTCGTCGGACGTTCAGCAAGCATATTTGGCCCACTAGTTCAGGATAGGATCGTTGTAGAATTGCAGCAAGGAGTCTCCAGAATCAGTCGAACGCCGGTCATACTTTTCCCCTAGTGATGAAGATGCTTGTTGTCAACTACTTCCTTCCGAGGACTTCCACCAATGCTGTGATGTAAGTACTTTCTGAAAGCTGCCAAAATCTGGACATCTCTCGATCTTGATGGCCTGAAACCCAGAGCCTTGTGACACCCCAACTTCAGACCTTGAGGTGAAGTGGTTCGGTGGTGAAGGCCGGGTGCAACTGTCATGAAGCCCGGGGCCGGATTTTCCTCAGTCATCCTTGGCAGGATTCCTCGTAAAGATCGGCTTTTGCATTCCAGTTTCTTGGTGCAGTGTGATGTCTGTCCCCGCATGACTGGTGTTGACATATACTTCTTGCATATACGCCGAGTTTCAGAACCGTTGCGGAGGGTGTCTCACCGGTACATATGATTGGTATTCGTTTGTCACAATAGTTTTGCATCGCATTGCCGCCGCAAGACAGTAGTATGTTCTCTTCACGAAGACACTGGCGTGCCACACTGACACTGTTCCGCTTCGTACAGTTTCGTGCTTCCGATGTTCCAATGTTCATTGTACTTTGTCATGCTTGCTACATCATTGCTGTGTTGTATACTCGATGTTGAGCATGACATCCTGCGACATGCAACCTCCAGCTAAATGCACGTTAAATGCCTTTGAAGTTCATGCCCATTCGTGACATGAATACTCCAAAGTGTGTACTGTGCGTAATGTCAGAGATCATTAGCTATCACCTGCTCTCAACTTCTGCACGCGGTAGACCCTGGAATGCCAACTCCTCGACGTGCTCAGAAGCTCCGGGCTCCTTCGAGGGCCTCTTTGCCCAGCGCTGTGCTGCAGATGCGCGGCTCGTGGATGTCATTGGAGCAGGCGACGCTCCAGCCCCCCTGCTCTTCCGCTGTGTTGAGGTGCTGCTCGCGATGTCACAGCAAAACACAAGTAAGGGACCATGGGGGACCCTGTTAATCTTTGCCTCGGCGGGGTTGAATGCTTGCCGGACTGACCACTTGAACCGGGACTGCAGGTAGCAAAGAGACACCATGTTGCTCTCAATTCGTCATGGTAGCAAGGTAAAGCTCTGGTCGGGGACAGCAGTGCGACCGCAAGGTTGTTCCACCCTGTCGGGAGGGACTCGCGATCTTGGCAGTCAAGTGGCACTACTACGTGTTGCGGTTCTTCGAGAACTTCCGAAAGCCCCAGCACACCTCCAGGTCACGGCTGAACCGGCGGTGGTGGGCCGCCCCCTGGGTCACTGCTAGCTCCCCGAATGTCAGAGGCACAGGATCAAACTCGCTGTGATTCGATTCGGGATTGTGGGTGTGATAATTGGCTGCAGGGCTCTGGAATGCAGCTGCGCTGCGACACCTACCTGTGACTCAATGATATGCACTGCCAACGTGTTCCGAAGTTGTATCCAGGATGGCTGGCAAAATCACAACGAGACGGATCAACTAGACCTCACCACTCGGAATATATGTGGCACATCCGATCATCTATCCTCTCATAAACCCTAAACTCTAAACCCTAAAGTCTAAACCGTATGCTCCTAAGCCCCGAGCTTCGCTTTCTCAGGGCCTGGATCTCTCCCAGCCTCACGCGGACGTGGCACGAAAGGCTCTGGACTTGGCCTATTGCTGCAACTACGGCCCCTCGTCAAATTTTCAACATTTCTGGGTAAAAAAGACGTGCGTGTTTCAATGGCAAGTTTGGATTGCAGTGCGGGCTTTGCGTATGCCCATGTGAGCCCATGCCTCGCACTTTTCTCCACTAATTCTGGTTGCTACTGGAACCTGGGCAAAGTGTGAAGTTTCACAATGGCGGCGACACAGGATGATGCAATAGCGTTATTCAGGCATGAGCGGCGGGTTGTTGCAATGATTCAGCGTTGAAGAGCCCTTTCTGCAACCTGGACCGATGTGATTCTGGTAGCTCGTCGATGACCCAAAGTTTCGTCACGATACTCGGTGTCCAGATCCACAATCTCAAAGTTTGTATGATTTTTTGCCATCTTGTATGTCGTTACATATTTCTATGAAAGTGCCCAATGACATCAGCATTGTCAGCAAAGGTGAAGGCTTGGCTTCCTGTGTCCTCCGGGCTCGTGGAGAGATTTTCGCCGGTGCCAGCGTGGCACTGCAGAATCCGAGCCGCGCTTCTGTAAGGGCTGTGTGCTTCGGGGTTGGGTTGGAATCTTATATCTTTTTTTGCGAAAGGCCCAACCCTGTTATTATAGAAGTTAAGCTAGAACATGACCCAGTCTTGCTTGTTAAGCAAGGGCCTCCCCCCTTCGCGCCTTGACATGCCTATGTCCCGTGTTCCAGATTGGCACCCGCAGCTATCAAAAGCACTCAACACCGTGTACACGTGATGCAGTGCACGCTCATGTTTGGTGTTTGTGTTTCTCGTTTCTCCATGTTGTGTTCCGTACGACGGTTCAGATGACGAGTCCGTCGCCTAAGGCCGATACACATGCCTATCCTTGCAGTGGCAGTGTCCAGGTATACACAGTAGCATATCACAGCATGATGTACTAGGTTCCTGACTAGTACCCGTTTGCCCTTTTGATTGTAAGGTCCCCATATTGAAACCGAATAGTATGAACACTACCGTTATGATAAAGGGGCTACTCATGAACCTAGTCGTGTAAACATTTGCCAAGTGCACATCGGCATACATCATGTAAACAACGTATCAGACATACACATACACCATGTTATACATGTACCCTGCACAGAAACTGGCAGACGCAAAGCAAGCATGCACTCTGTCTCTGCATTTGCGTCCGTCTCCATGTGCTTGCATGCGTGTACGTCTATAACGGCATATGTATATGCACACAAAGACCCTTGCAAAGACTTCGATAGACATAATGCGCAATACCGACAACAATGTTGCAACCTGCCTTAAGGATGGGTCCGATGCAGCCAGGCCGGCTTACACGCCCAAACCGCGAGATTAGGCATACAGCGCGCGAAATCCGCCGGCAGCAACCTCTGCAGTCTCGATTGTGCTACTGTCTTGAGGAGTTGAGGGTTTAGGGGGCGTGACCGTGCGAGCTGGATCTTCAGTGTTTGGGCTGTCGGCTCAAAATATATCGTCATATCGTCGTAGTTCCAGACTCGCTAGCCGCTAGTCATGGCGAAGAGCAGTGTTGCCGAAAAGTTGCAAAGGCAAGTCCAGTAACTCTGAACTGGCCCAGTGTGCTTGAAGTTTCGGGACTCCACAGCGCCGGGTAAGTCATCAGGCTGTTTCGCAGCAGTTGCTCCGAAGCAGACAACAACGGGCCTAATACCTCAACTGCGAGAGCACGGGGAGCGAGGAACACCTCGGACCCGCAGCATCTATATCTCCAGCTCTGCCTGGTAGCTATATCCCTTATTCGTTTGGTATCATGTCACAACCGTGGCAAATCTCAGCCAATATAATGGCAAGAGCACGAACTGCCCGTATGGGAAAGATCGTCTAGAAGGCCTTACAAACTGGGACACATCACAACGAAAAGTCCAATCCTTCTAGCGCTATGCAGGTGGCCTCTCTCCGCTGTCTGTGGCCTTGGTCGCGCTTGGGGCGAAGGGAGGCCGTGTGGAGGACAGTGTATGTGTCTGTTATAGGTCAGTGTTGGTACTGGTATCAGTACACTTGTTCTCAGTGCAGACATATTTGAGGACAGCTGCATACTGAGAACTCGGATCGAAGCAGTCCCAAATTCTGCATGGACCAAGAGAGTCCAAGATGGACTGCGCTCGAGCATCGCCTGAAAACCTGTTGTTTGAAAGGACGTAGGCGTGGGTGCATAAGCTACCATCCAACATACCCGGTGAACGATTATACTTTCTGCAGGTACAGAGTCAATCGTCAGTGCCTTCCTCCCAAGCTCCAAAGCTCTGTTAACTCTAGTGCGGTTAGGACTAGGAGCACGACCACCGCACCCCTGCTTTCTTCTTTGTAACTATAAAAGGCCTATTGCATTATGCTATTTACATTTCGTGGTCCCCGCACACTCATGTATTGACACATGCGCGCACAGACATACAAACAATCAAAGACAACTACCCAAAGGGTCGGTTTGATGGCGCTACGTGCATTGCAGGTTCAGGGGTTCAGGGTTATATTACCAGGTATCCATATGATGGGTCATCACTGGTTTGATGATGGCCACGTGCAAGGCAGGTAGCATGATAAATGGTTCGCGGGCCATGCATGCTTTCATTGCGGGGTTAAATATATTGCCATCTCCCCATAGGGTTTGAAGGAAAGGGTTTGTCAATTTGGCCCTTTACAATTATTATTACAAGCTTGCCGGAGGCGAGTGGTAAAAAACCCAAGACACAAACAGACGATCTCCCGACATTTCCTCTCCCTCTCGCTTCCGCTTGGTCGCATGTATCGCAGGCTGCTGCAAGCGAGATTTGAGTTGCACAAGATATCGCTGTGCAGTTCTGCAAGACACAGTTGCCTTGTGGCATCTCCTGCTGATTCGCCCTATCTGGCCGACAAACGATTCGGCTGCCAGCAGCGTGTATATGCCGGCATTCACCCTGTGTTGCGAAGCATCTCGGATCATGTGTTGGAAATAATGGTGCTTGGGCAACAGCTGGAACATGAAAGTCGTCTCGGAATGCAGCATTGCATAAATGCGTAAGTGTGACATGCCTGCCTTGTAGAATTCAGCAGCCTGTTGCTCTGACAAAAGCATGCCAAACTCATCCAGGAATCGCAAAACACGAATGTACGTGAGCATGCAAGTAGCCAACTGCTCGTCCTGCTCTGATTTGCCTGCTCGCTTTGCAAAAGAAGCTGTCTCCTCAGCCAACCAAAAGCTGATGACCTTCTGTGCCACTGCTTTGCCACTCAAGCTTGGGAATTGTGCCTTCTTCGCTCTGTTCAGCCGAGCAGGTGTAAACCTCGCTTGAGTACATTGCAAGCGACACTTCCTCTTCCAATCTTCAAACCTGCCATAAGCCACATTGAGAAGCGGAGCCAATTTAGCATCGTACTTGCCAGCGGCTGGCCACTCCCCGAACCAACCGTTTTCCGCAAGGTACACCAAAGCAGCACCTTCAAAACAACAGATCGTCAAGGCATTGCAATGGTATAGCCAAGTATATATAAGCAACGAAAACACTAAATCCTGGCAAACCAATCATATACCAGCTTTCTGCCTGAGGAGCCGTTCAGAACCTTCGAAGTTCCAAGCAGTTGACCATGGCACGGGTCGTGGAGGAACCTCTCGTAAAGCATGCCAGGGATCTGGAAGATCACATGTCCTTATTTGCAGTCACGAAAGCAGAAGATTCACAACATACTTGCAACATGACGTGTTGTGCATCTCAGGTTCGATTCTCCGGTGGCGTGTTTGCAATGAAATGCCTGTGATCATAGCGTGTGAGGGTGTGAGCTGCACCTTCACGAAAGTCGCCCAACGTCATGCTCTTGTCTTCGTGAGTCTTGCAACAGGGACAGTACGAGCACAATCGATTGTTCCGATACGGCTGCATCTGGTATTTGTCGTTTATCCACTTGAGATCCCCCTGACACGAACTCCAACAAAATTGGTAGCCGTGACTGCTCCATGGAAAACCTTGAAACCCCGGTGACACAAGCTTCTGAAAACGAGGAATGATACCATTGAGCACGTCTCCGTATGTTTCGGACGTAGCTGTGTGATCGCTGTATACCGATACCAAAAAATACCGGCCAAGTGGATCCTGCTTCGGTGTAAGGTCTGTCGTAAATGCGATCACAGAAACTGAACCGGCTTCCGTGGCCTTATAGGCTGCAACTTCGTCGCCGTACAAGCTCACCGGGATAAGCTTCGAGCGGTCCCCTTTCCATCCAAACATTGGGTGCTCCCGAAACCATGGAGCGTTTTGCTCCAGATTGTCCCAGTAAGGTTTCGGATCCACGGGCAAGAAAAAATCACGAAAGTATTGCTCCCCTTTGCTGTTCCAGATAGCACAGAGCAAGTCGTCCGGGGGGATAACAGAAATAGGCTTCCATGTAACAGCATACGGTTTCCTCTCCACGTTGGCTGCCTCCTCTTCTTCACTCAGCCTCTTCTTGTAGTTGAAAACCCTCGCTTGCAGAGGCAGCACATCCACATCCATGGTTTTACCTCTCTCTCGCATCACGGTGTGCAGATCCCTCTCTGCATTTGACCTGTGCTTGCCGAAAGTCCCAATTTTGGCCAGCTTCGCCACCAGATTGTGTCTGGCAACCTCGCCGCCGCCTAAAGCAGCGTGCCACTTCACAGCGGCCGAAGCTAAGCTTTGCACCTCCAGGGTTTCAAGTATCGGGTGTATACGTTATATATTGTGTGTATACATCATATACGGCGTACGGGTTAGGGATATCCAAATGGTTGGTGGCTTTAGATTCGGCTGTCCTTTGCGGCAGTCAGCTGCCCTTTGCAAAACTCATCGATCAACATGTCGCCAAAGGCATCCGCCTGTCGGAGAGGAGAGAAGTTTGTCAGAGAGAGAAAGAGATGGAGGGAGAGAGAGAGAGAGAGAGAGAGAGAGTGAGAGAGAGACATATAGAGAGAAAGAGAAAGAGAGAGAGAGAGAGAGAGAGAGAGAGAGAAAGAGAGAAAGAGAAAGAAAGAGAAAGAGACAGAGAAAGAGAGAAAGCCGAGAGGGAGATAGGGAAGAGAGAGAGGGGACAAGTCCCCACTAGGCCCGCCCACACACCCCACCACAAGATATACTGGATTCGACAGACGTGAAACACATGCGACAAAAGCTCACAGCATGCATCCCGTTTTCGGTAGCGTCGCCTCCGTGGGCTCTTGTTGGCGCTTCCGTTTGACACCAGACGGGGCGGACGGCGTTGGCATACCCTCGGATGACAATCGCACTTTTGCGTCGCAGGTTCACCACTATAAACCCCATGCGGCATAAAAAACTGCTTGTGCATGCAAGTGCGGCTAAGACTCATCTTGGAGGGACTCATTTGCAATAGCATCTCCACGGCCATCGCGTAAAAGTCCCGGTTCCTATAGATAAACACATCATGCACACCTATATACATTGCACTGTACTCTCGAAGCCAACTGTCATGTTGCAATTGCAGCTAGGGCTCAGCAGCAACTCCATGGAACACATTTGGTCGTCTCTGCGTACCAGCATCTCCACGGAAATCATGTGGAGCCTGCATGCAATCGATCATCATCGGCAACTCATACAATTCATCGCCGACATGCAGCAGAGGTGCATGTACTCTGCGGAACTCATCTGGAATTGTAGCTTGCGGGCGACCAGCATCTCCACCGAAATCAAGTGGAGCATCAAGTACCTTAGCCGAGTTGCAAGTCACATTGCATGCACCGTATAATATAGAAGTAGCAATACATGCATTCGAAATGCAACAAGAGCACAATAACTTCACTATCATCAGCAGCTGGATTTCCAGCTTGTTGTGTAGGATCCTTGGAGATGCCATGCAAACCAAAACACATGAAAAAAGGCCACTGCATGAACGGATCTATAAACATCCTTGAGTCAGCAGAGGGTCAGCAGCATCAATGATGCCGTCATCGGCTCTCTCACCATCAGCAGCAGCCCCTGATCAGACAGAGATCACGAAACACTATGCATCGGAGCCATCATGAAAGTTGCATCCTCTGCGTGAGCGGACCTTTCTCTCATGTGGCGACATCGCTTCGTGATCCACACGGGCTTTGCGTTTGCAAGCCCAATTTTGCCAGTCAACATCTGCAGCACTGCATATCAGCTTTAGCAGATCTGTTTTTATGTTGCATGCATGCATGCAGTCCACAGATCCACTGGCGGTAACCACTGCCATGTGCTTGCAGCGGCAGCTGCAAGGCTGTTCGTACTTCGTTTCGCGAACAGTGCATGCGTCCAGCACACCTTCATGCGTACAGAGTTTGCGATATCTAGATGCAACCTTATATATAGAACGACTGTTCAGCTGCGTGCACATGGCTATTGCACAGACGAGCACGAGCGATGCCACAAAACCCTAAAATACTTTTCACAGTCATGGCTTCCCCGGGCCGGTCACAGCATCTAAGGGGAAATCACATCCAAGATCTAGAAGATCAGAAGCTCGGTCGCATAGCCCTCGCGGAATCTCAGGCCTGCGTGCCATGGCATGCTATATAGGAATATAAACACGAGCAGCTCACAGAAACCAACAGACTATTGCAATCATCCACAAACAAGCTACAATATGTTGTTCTCGATACATCACCGGCCTTATCATCGTTCTTCTTGGCTTTCACCGGCTTTGTTGCCGATTGGTTTGCAATCGCAGCATCTTCCTGGTACATGTTCATCCGTTGGATGGCCAATCGAACATGTGCAGCTGCCCGATTCTCCACGTCGGCACTGCGTGCCTGCGTGCATGCATGAACAGCAAACTCATTGCGTGCTACCGCTCCTCTATAAAATATAGCTGTCCTCCTTTTGCAGCTTCTGGATATCCATCGTAGACTTCTTGAGCTCCTCATGGTGTGCCACAATCTTGTCGCCTCATCATGACATGCATTGCATGCAAGAAACTGAATTCATGGAGCATGCTCCTCTCTCATGCACACAAAACCAGAAATCTGAAGCGTCACACGA